TGTGTGTGTGTGTGTGTGTGTGTGTGTGTGTGTGTGTGTGAGTGTGTGTACCGGGGGAGGCTTGAAGGCAGTACGGAAGTTGTTGCATGAGTGCAATTCTTAACGCAGATGAAGCTGTATCTTGTTGCTTGATGGCAACAGTGCAGTAGGAGGAAGTGACTTGACTGCTGACGCACGTGCAGTCAGAGTGGATTGCGGTGATCTGGTATGGCGGGTATGGATGGCGGTTCTCTCTTTCCTAAAGTCCGCTGTACATGCACCAGCGGGCAAGCTCTATTGGCAAACACTGTCCAAGGAGCTACATCTGAAGCCTTTCCCGTTGATGCCAAGCGGCCGCAAATCCCAGAGGGGTAAAAAAAAAAACACAGCTGCAGAATTGCGGTTGGTATCCTGTGACTGCCCAATTCCCATTTCCCAAAATCGTGCGGCGGCCTCAGCAGTGTCTTTTCCAGATTGGGGACACGGTGTGACCTGGGCCACCACTAAAACCCCAAATTGGGCCTCCACAATTTCTCATAAATTGGGGATCTGGTATCTGGTATCGCAGTGTGAGCATGCCCTCAGGCCGGACATGCGTGCACCCGGGGCCGTGACCCACTAGCGGGGGTTTAGTTTATGTTTCGTGTATTTTCCAACGTGGTCACACTAGGGCCGTCAGATTTTCAGATCGGATGGCAAGGAGCCATGCACTCTGGAAACCCGAACAAAACCCGAGAAGTGGACATGGCCCCCATGAACCAAGAGATTGGTTGGTTAAATAAGGGTCTCTCCACACGGCACACGAAACGAAAACTAAACGAGTGCATCTGCCCACGAAAGGTGGCAAAATACACTGGTTACTATATATAGCAAACCGATGAACCTGGCCATTTTCTGCAGGAAGATGCACTCGCTTCGTTTTGGTTTCGACGCCCTAAATAAAAGAGGAAAGTGATTTGTCACTTTAACATTGCAACAGACCCCCGTGGCCGTATGCACCCGGTCACCTCTGGCCGTGGATCTTTGTAGGCATACTGAACGAATAGAAAACAATTTCTTTCCTAACTAGAAACAAGACCGCATGAGGCCTGGTAGAGAGATCTGGGGATGCTTTGGGCCGGGCATTCCAAGGGAAAACCAAGGGTTGCTGTCGGGACGACACTGGCCGGAGCCGAGGTGAGTCGTGTTGCCCTGTAACCTAGCAGGGTGGGGGCATGAGGCCTGGGAGAGCTTGGCAGGGAAGAAGACAGTATTAGAGAATTTTAGAGTGTTTTTGTGGGGGGCTTCCAGGGGTTCTGAGCTTTTGAAGGACTCCCACTAATTGCTGCTTGAGTAGCCTAGTAATAGGTTGGCAGGCTAGCAACTATCTGGTGTTTTTCTTAATTTTTCCTGAACTTTTTTCATAGTTATCAGATTGTTCTTAGCCGAAGCCAGGTAATGGCCTTGGCACTTCAAATCATTTGTATATTTCTATATGGGATGCTGGCACGTGTCGCTCCCCACGAATAGACTGGAGCATTTGTCCCATAAAAAAAAAAAAAAAAAAAAA